TGTCTGTGCTGGCTTGCCCGGCGGCGGGAGACGCCAATGCAACCACGGTCCCGCTGGGTCGCCCGGCAGCAGGAGAGCGGGTTTGGATGCTCGGTATCTCGGTAGAGGTGGCAGTGATGAGGTTCTTGATGCGGCTTCTTTTGGTCATCTCTTCTGCCTCTGTCAACCGGATGAATGGCACGTCCGGTAATTTGGGATCGGGAGGTGGAGATGGAGCGCGAAGAAAGTTTGTGACTTTACTCTGGCGTGGAGCTGAATATCTGTATGTCGGAGTGTAACCGAAGAGGTCATGGCAATCCCGGTTACAGTAGCGGAGCACGGTTCTGATGGCGGCTTAGTTGGGATAACGGTAGTTGGCTTGCAAAGCGTTGATTGCTGTAAAGGAAAGAAGGAAAAATGCTAAGTACAGAGCAATGAAATATAGCAAATCGACCGAGCAATTAGCACAACTTACATGTCTCGCCGAAATTTTTGCTGATATACCAGCCCGGCACCTCGACCGTTTCATAATTTCCAGACACCCAGAAAAAGTCATCGTCATGCAAGTCCTTGTCTGGGGTACCGGTCACTATTTTCTCCTTGCCCGGTCTGATCTTTAAATAGTAGGCGAGGCCATCGCCTGTGTGCCCTAAGGTGTATTGGCGAAGTATATCGGCCAGACCAAGGTTGGTTCCTAACTGGTTGTTTAGCTCGTGGACCCTGTTGATTATTCTGTAAGTGTTGGTTGAAACCTGGGTTGGAGCTATCCCGGTACGCCGCAAGAATTCGCAAATAAGCGGGTTGACCGGGAAGCAAAGCCCACTTTCTATGATGGAAAGTACGGTGAAGGGGCACTGGTCGGATTTGCCCCAAGGGATCGTTTCCTCTTCACCGAGCTCTAGGTGGACATCGTTTGGGATACCGTATTCTTCTCGGAACGCGGCTAGAGCGGCCTGTGTATCGACCAAGAAGCGGTAACGCCCCATGTGTGATCGACTGGTCTTAGCTCGGCTGAGGTGGTTTGGCAAACTGGTGTTTGGTGGCTGCTTGGTCTTTGAGAGCCTCAGTATTTGGTCTGTGGTCCCCTTGGACTCTGTAGTAAAAGGATGGCAAGTGTAAGTGGAAGCGCGGTCGCGCAAAACGAGCTTTTAGCTCGGTCGTGAAGAGTGCCAGACTACCTCGGACGCAAAGGCAAACCAAAGAGCTCAGTTGCTCAAACGAACCAGTTGTTACCCCGGTCGAGCGGCTAAGTCCTCTGTCTACCTCGATTTCTACTAAGGTTTTTGGCAAACTTGTAAGTTGCTCGGTCTCAATGTTTTTTGGGATCAAAAGAAGACTTGGAGTCGGGTCCGCTCTAGATCCTCATGTGTTCATGTGTTCATCACTGGGACTGAAGAACATCGAAGAGAATAGGGGCAGGAGAGGGTTTTGGGGGGTATATCCTAAAACCTATGAATTTAGTGCCCTAAAATGTGAAATATCAAATGAAATAGTAATAAAGTTCTCGAAGGACTTACCAGGAAGGGGGTTGAATCTGAGTCTTCACGCACGAACGGAGAAGAGGAACAAGAATGGAGGTTGTAGCTCTGGAACGTCGAAGGTTGAAGGGGAGTCAGTAAGAGTGAAATGAAGGGGAATATGGCGTGTTTGTAGGGGTGAAGAACCGCCAAAAATTTGAAGGTGAAAGGACATGATGGTTGGTTGCTTGAGGCCAAAGGGCGAGCGGCACGTGTCCCTATTGAAGGCGGCGTCAGTATTGAAGAGACAAGATGGCAAGTCGAGGCGTCGACCGGGCAAGTTTGGAAGCCAGTCGTATCAACTAGCCCGGTTGTCGTCTTGCAAAGATATGGCGTGTTTGTAGGGGTGAAGAACCGCCAAAAATTTGAAGGTGAAAGGACATGATGGTTGGTTGCTTGAGGCGTCGTCAGTATTGAAGAGACAAGATGGCAAGTCGAGGCGTCGACCGGGCAAGTTTGGAAGCTAGTCGTATCAACTAACCCGGTTGTCGTCTTGCAAACCGAAGACTGAGGAAGGGTCTACCCCGGTCGGATCATGTAATCCCGGTCACGCTTTTGCGGACAGAATTAAGGGGCAATTGAGAGGGAGATTTATGAGCTGGATTGAGCCGCGGTAACGGCCGGGCAGATTATGGGCCGAACATAATTGGGTCGTGGTAGCATGGGCCAGTCCAGAAAGGTTTTGCTCGGTTAAGGCAAAGGGCATGTGTGGACCGAGCTACTTGGCTTCTTGGTGCTGAAACCGGTCTACTGGGAGTGCGGCTGGGCTGTCCGCCCGCCTCTGTGGTTTCCACAGAGGCACGCGTTAGCTCGGCAGAAGGGCCGACGGCTAACTTGACCGACCTCTCTCGGGCTCGGCTCGTCGGAATGCAGCCGAGCTCGGTTGTACAAGAGCACGGTGAATGGATCATACAGGTATGCCGCGCAGCATGGTCAGGTTAAACCGGTGAGGTTCCGCCGATCTATCGAGCTCCGCCGAGGTACCCTAACAGATTGGTTAGGTGGTGATTGCTGGATTTGTGTTGACTGATGAGATAGTAGCACCACGTGTCGAGAGACTAATGGGAGTAAATTTGGGACGCAGAAAGTATATAAGCATGTCTGCGCCCCCCATGCTGAGACAGATGATCATTTGGTGAGAAAAACAATTACACTCAACTCTCCTTTCTCTCTCTCTACCTGAGTGTGTGCTAACTTGACCGTCGGAGGGGTTTTCCGGCCACACACCGCCGGGTAGCGCACCGCCATTGTGTTCGCAGGGCGATCGGACAGACAGAGAGCTTGGAAGAAAAGAGTACGGGCTCGCCGGAATATTGGCTCCCCGTACAGCAATTATAAATGACGACACTGAGGGAAAAGAAATAATCACAGCCTCCCCTCTAGTTGCATGAATTTTTTTCCAAACCCCCATTAGTTGAAAAAAAGAAGAAGAAGAAGAAGAAGAAAAAAAAAATTACAAGTCACTTCCGAGTACACAAAATATTTACAAATTTATGAAAAATTTATAATTGTAATTATAAAAGTTAATAAAGTTTACCACCGGTTTGAAATTATTTTGAAAAATATACATTGATATGCAATTTTTGACAAAAAAATATATAAATTCCTAAACCGACTCTTTTTTTTTTAACAACCCAGCCATTTTTGAAATCGTGTTTCAAAAATAAAATTTTAACTTTATACATGTATTTGTATAACATGATTTCAAAACAAATTAATGCTAAAATCATGTTTTGATTTCATGATTTTGTTCTAAATTCATGGTCCCTATGACCATGCAAACAACTAATTCAAAGTCTGCCATGTTTGTCGATTCACGTGATATTAATACTATACATTGATACGGTGGTGTGTTTGTACAATAATTTTACTTAAAATTAAGGTAATCGTTATTAATAATATAAAAAGGTAATTTATATATAAAAAATTTATATAGAATGAACTACTTCCTATAATCCTGTGATCCTTTTATTTAAAATCAAAATACCCAGTATTATCTTTATTATATTATGGGGAACTTACGTGTAAATTTTAATAGGTGAATTTATTATCCAATAGGTCATATATTAATTAATGACTTTTTTTTTATTAAATACTAATTAAAAAAATCACTAATTGTTAATTTTTAACAACAGTTTAAAAATTGTCACAAAAAATATCACTAATTATAAGTTTTAACAATTTGAAAAATTCGTCACAGAAAAATGATACTAATTGTAAGTTTTAGTGACAATTTATAAAAATCGTAACAAAAAAGTTACAAATTATTAATTTTTAACAACATATGTAAAAAATTATTACAAAAAATTATTTTTAACGACGATTTTATTAAGACTTATAGGAATTAAGTCTAACTATTATGACTTATTAATAGTTTATCCTTATATTATAAATATTATTAACTCATCATTATAAATGTATTAGCAAATTACTCATATCTGAAAGCACTCCTATATAAAATCACATAAAATTTATTTTTTTCTTGTTCAAAAAATTAAGGATAAATTATAAATATATCCATTGAGATTTACTTAAAATATAGATTGTCTCTTGTGATTTTGAAAATTACATCTCATCCCTCCAAGTTTCTAATTGCATAACAAATAACTTCTTTTATTAATAAATCATAAAATCAATTAATGGTTTTTAATGATATCAAAAATGTATTTTAATTAATAATTTAAGTAAATTTATTATTGTATAAGAGAATAGTTAGGAATTTTATTTTTCATATTAATTTTATTTAATAAAAAATTCTAACAAAAAATATTGAAATTGTTAAAATAACAAAGAGAAATTTGTATTTTAAACAAAGTATATTTATAATTTACTTGAAATTTAATATGATATAATTTCATCAATTTCATATCAATATCCAAACCCTAGTCAATTTCATAGCAATATAATTTTTCAATTTCATAGCAACATAATTTCATTCGCTGTTCTCATCAATGACTCTTTTCAACGAACTACTTTTTATTTGGGCAAATTACATATACCTTCTTCGAGTTTTAGTTAAATTACAGATATCCCTTGAGGTTTTGAAAATTACATCCCGCCCCCTGATGTTTGTATTTTCATAACAATTTGTCTCCTGAGATTTATATTTCGTAACAAATTACCTTCTAATTTCTTATATAAATATAGCATTCAAAGAAAAATTTATAATTTCTAAAATCTCAAGAGAATATATATAATTTAACTAAATTTAATTTGTCCTTTTTATTTTAGTTGATTTGGTAAAACACTCCAAGTTGCAGACCTAGTCAAAAGTCGGTAGGGGGTATTTTAGTAAAATTGTAAATTAAAAAAAAAAGCATCTTTGAAAAATTGAAACATGTGTTATGCACATTAAAATTCTCTTTCTTAAGTTGTACTACCATCCCACCTCCTGTTTTGAATATATATCTTCTCCTTTACTTTATCTCACTCAATAAACACGTGCTCTAATTCAACAAATATTTTTCAAACCAAAATAATATAAAAAAAGTCACTTCACAAATCAAAACCACACACACATAAAAAGCAAAACAAAGTGTTGAAGAAGAAGAAGAAGAAGAAGAAGAAAAACCTCTCTGTTTTCCATATACACCAATTTCTATTCAAAGTGTTGTAAGTTTTTGACTTATCAAAAACTCAGCGATTGCATAGTCGTATCGTTCAATTCTGTGAAAAACAAGTTTAGAATGGCAAGTTCTCAAGTGTTTTCCGATGACCGGAGGTCCGGCAAGTCGCCGGAGAAATCAAATTTTGCGCTGACTTGTAACCGATTGAGTCAGTTTCTCAAGGAAAGAAGGAGCCTTGGAGATCTAGGGTTTGAAATCGCCGGAAAAATCGACACCAAAGGTATTTTTCGGATGAAAAGTTCTCGAGTTCATTTTCTATTTTTTTTTTTTTTTTTTTTGAAGAAATACAAAACAGTGATTTTTTTGGGGGGGGTGAACTGTTTTTGATTTTTTTTGGAAAACAATTTTACTTTTTAAGAAACATTAAAAACCCAGTTTTCACAAAAATAAAAATAATGGGTGTTTGTTTTTTAAACTTTTATTAACACTTTTGCTGAATTATTTTTATTTTTTTAACAAACTACTTTTTAGGAAACATATTTTCAAAATTTGAAAATTATTTTCATACGAAAATAAAAACAGTTGTTTGTTTTTTAATTTTCATTATTTTTGTTTCGATTATATGCTGTTGAAAGACATGTTAAATGAGAACATATTTGGATAATTAAGCCAGGAACAAGCTTGTCACCGGTCTAAAAATTAGTAGAAGGTTTATTTTTATTGGCTTATTTCAAACTTATTTTTAGTGATTTAAATGGTTTGAAAAGATAGACGAATATATTTTTGAAATTAAATTTATTGTTTTATTTTAAAGATAAATACAATATGATCAAGTAATTATATACATCTCATAAATTTAACTTTTTATATATATAATGTTTTTGTCAAGTTTTACAAATTAAACAGTTTAGATGTTCAAAATTAACAAACCACAGGCACACACAAACTAGACCCATCCAAAAAATAAATAAATAAATAAATAAAAATAAAAATTGGACTAGATACAAGCTCCCCATCTGAGCCAAGATGGGTGATGTTTGATAATAGATTCGCCCATTTTGGCAATTGTCCCCACAAAATGGTGAGTACAAAAACTTTTTTATGATTTGGAGGTAAATCATTGTCAGCAACTCATGCCAAAGTCGAGTTTTTTTTTTTTTAATATTCTAAAAAATATATATAATTTAGAGAATTGACCCACTTTTTAAATTATTAGGAAATTAATCTGTTTTTTGAAATTGTATTTTAAAAATACGATTTTAAAATTCAAATTACATTTTCACCATGTAATTTTATCTTGAAATCGCATGTTAAAAATATAATATATCTTAGTGAAACCCATGTCATGATAAATTACATTTTCAACATACGATTTCAAGTGCAATTTCAATTTAAAATTGTATTTTCGAAATGCGATTTTAAAAAACAGGTTTGTTTCTCAAATAATTTGAAAAGTTGGTTAATCCTCTAAATTGTTTTTTTTAAGAATATTTTTAAAAAAAAAGAGAACTCTGCCAAAGTCTCCTATATGTTTTGTTTGTTATGGCTAAAATAGCCTATTTTGTTTTTTGTGGCTAAAATAGCCAAAAAAGCCTGAAAACCATCTTGCCAAACAGAGGCTTAAGCATTCATGATTTGGGAAATGTTTCAGGGAGACCCGAAACCACAAGAAATATGGTTCCGAAGGTGGAAAAACCGGTCGGGTCATGGGCACAACATGGACTTATGGATCTCTTTCCTCAGCATGCTGATCTCCCAAATAAATCTATTTCCAGGTTTGTTTCCTTTCTCAAGTCCTATGCTCTCATCTAATCTAATTTTCATAAATATACACTCTTATTTCTGTGTTTGGATCTTAGATTTACAGAATGAAACAAAAATGCATATAGAAAATTGAAAATGAAATCAGTATATTTTGTTTAGTTATGTATAACAAAATCAATGTGTATAAGTATTTGGGTATTGCTTCTAACTCTGAATTTCAAGCCAAAGACATACGGATGGCTCATGATTAAAATCCGTGTAGAACCTATAAACAATTAAGTTCAATCATAACCATTGATGTGAATTGAATTCGGACTTACACATCATTTTCATAACTAATTATTGTTGGCTTTTTGGCTTTTCGAAGGGTATTTTTGTAAATATGAGCGTGCCAGCAAGGATCAATCAGCCCTTACAGAAATTGTGATTGCCAACCAATTACCAGACGATTGTGTTTTAGTTCTTTCAGCCTCAATGAAGAGGACTTTTACTGGTGGCTTGACTTAGGAGAAATTAAGAGAAATAACAATTAATATGAAGAACAATGGAAGTATTTCATAAAAATGAAAAACAAAGCTGGGGATCTCATGCTTTTCGCTGGCAGCGAAACCAATCCTGTTCCAGCCCCCAATCCTATTCCAGCCCTCGGAACAGAAAATCAGATCAAGTCAGGTGTTTCTGCAGCCTCAGGCTCGTTTACTCAAAACCATCTTCAATCACAAACTAAAGCTACTCATTCCGGTAATTGCTTTGTCATTTAAAGATTTGTTGCAAGAAAACAATGAAATATCTCTGAAAAGTACTTGAATATTAATCATTTTTTTTTTGTTGGTTTGTGTTTCAGATCTGCCAGTGCCAATAGCAAGAAGGGCATCGCTTCACCGGTTCTTTGAGAAGAGAAAAGACAGGTAGGGGTTTATGAAAGAATTATGAAATGAGAAACAGTTTAAATTTGCTTTGAAAAAACAAAATTTCAATGCATTTGTATTCAAATAATCTAAAATTTTGCTTTTTTTTTTTTTTTTTTTCAGGGCCACTGCTAGAGCACCATACCAAGTACATGGCGGTCCATCGACTTCTTCATCTTCCAAGCATGAGGAACAGCTTGATCTCAAGTTGTAGACATCACTTTGTTTTGTGATGAACTCATTTTAGATTCTAACTCTCTCATCTATTTACTTTATTTCTTATATCAACTTTGTTCTTTTTTAAGGTTCTTGTTAGAGTTATGAATTATGTAAATCAGTATTTAATTTATCAAGTTGTTCAAGGTTGAAGATTTTTAAGATTTGTTATAAGCATTTTTCTTCATTACATTGTTTAGTGTGAGTGCATGTACCAAACAATCATAAAATAACTCAAAGATTCTACACGCAAAAAAAAATCACAAAAAAATTGATATGCGGAATTTTATATCTCACCGCATTTTGTTAATGGGTTCTATACGTATTTATTTATTAATGTAAATTTCATTGCTGCCTTAGATAAGATAAGAAAATGTGATGAAATTTTGAGATTATGTACAAGATTGCAAATTTCATTTATTATTCATGGTTCAAAACCAAAGACCTTAAATTTCTTATCATAATTTAATAATGATATATATATATATATATATACACATTAACCATATCTTTAGACAATACTAGATGTACATTTGTATATTTGAAAATTAATTGCAATTTATAAATAAATAAAAAAATCAATATTGATGTAATGTTGTCAACAGTTGAGCATGTGTCTTTAGATACTAGATGTACATTTGTACATTTGAAAATTCATTGAAATTAAAAAAAACATTATTAATGTAATGTTGTCATCATTTGAGCATGTGTTTAGGGACATTTGAAGGGGGGGGGGAAATTACAAGAATTACAATTAAACTCAAATTTTAAACATCATGATGAAAGGATCATATTAAAACTAGATTGAAGTTTGAGAAGTTAACTGGTGTTTTAGAGTGTAAGAGTTAAATAGTGTAATTAGTGTGCAAGAGATTCTGAGAATAGTTAGAAATTTTATTTTTACTATCAATTATGTTAAATTAAAATTTTTAATAAGGAGACATTTATAATTTTTAAAATAACAAAGAGCAATTTGTTATTTAAATAAAGAGTGTATTTATAATTCACGTCTTCCTTAGCCTCATCAATTTGAAGTCTTGTTGCCGCTTTCTCACTGTAACATAATGATTCATTGCAATCCATGGTCCACCTGTGAAGACCCTTGTGTAGTCCTCCATCATCTCAAATTTCACAATGGAAAAATCGTTACCAATATCAAGAGCTTCAAAATATGCTTGCAAGCCCTTGACTTGTGTCTTTTTTTTCATGAATACTTCATAACCAATGGTTTTACCTAATAATTGCACAATCAAACATTTTTCCATCGAAGTTCTTCTCCTTCCCATTCTCATTAAATCGGGATCTAAAAAGTACTTTGTTTGAATGATCAGCTTCTATCAATTTTTTCCGAATTGGCCTCTTCATTTTGATCCTGATTGTTGTCTTCCATTAGAGCCTCAAGACAAGATTGGTCAGGATTATCAATCCCCTTTTCCTCCATTCCCTGATGAGGATCATCCATTTGTTCATCCCTTGAGAGTATAGTGCTTTTGATTGTAGAGGATCGTGGTCCATTGGGACACGGATCTGCGAATCCAGCCCAAAAATAAATAATTTGGGGGCTTTCTCTCATTTCTTGTTGGCCCAGTTGAGAATATTAAGTTCAGAGTAATGTTGGGTCAATCCATTAAACCTTCTTCTTGTTGTGTACCATGATTCAATCCAAACCCGGCCCAGCTTCATCAATCCTTGTTGAAGCTCATCTAAATTTCACAAAACAACTTCGGCATTTAACGGTTGTTTGGAATATTCTAAATAAGTGCACTTTTTGATTTTTTATCAAATATGGGTTGGGTTTGAAGTGATGTAATAGAGAGGTGATGTGACTTAAACAAGATGATATGACTTAATTAAGATAGTGACTTTTCGACTTTTTGATTTTTTTATGAGATGTTAAACCTAACCTTAGTAAGGATTAAATTTTTTTATTCAAATATATGGATATGGACTCACACATTTTTGGTAAAAAAATTCAGTAATTGAGTAGAGAATAAATTGACCCTGGGCAATTGCTCGAGTATTCATGGAGAGGATATTTAAATGTTACGGTAAGTGAGGTTTTAAGTTATAATCTATGGAGAGATGTAGACTTATAAGTTATGGAAAAGACGTTGACCTACGTTGTAATTTAATTATTAATATATTACCCACTATCTATGTAAAAAATAAAAACAAAAAAAAAAAAGAGTAGAAAATAAGTTTATGAATGTACAAATGGTTCATACTTCATACAACAAGATGCAAAAGGTATATAGACTGATAATTAAAATAAAAAAAAATGGATCCGACTAATAAATATTATAAAATATAATTATCTATGGAAGTGTATCATGTTTTTAATTTTGTGACCAATTTCTACGTTCATTATGTGAGAGGGTAATTTTTGGAAAAGAATTGGACCGAGCTGTGAGTTGGGCCCTGCAGCCCAAAGTGTGAAGGAATCGGTAAGAAGCCGTAATGTTATTTCAGCCCAGTAGAGGTATAGATACTCCGGCCCAGGAGAAAAGAAGTTATTCCGGCCCAGGAGAGGTGTGGTTACTCCGGTTCAAGAATGTGTAAAGCAACTCCGGTCCGGTGGCAGTTTGAAGTGAGTCCGGCCTTGCATTTAGTCCGGTCGTGACATATTATGGTTAGGTCGGTCAGAACTTGCTTCTTGGAAGTTTGATCTAAACACACCATGGTTGAATAGGGAAAAGCCGAGATAAGGAGTTGGAGGAGAAGACCGAGCTAAGGACAGTTCGGCCTTCTCTGTGGCTCTGCATAGCCAAGCTTATTTCTGTCATATAGTAGTTCGGCCAAAGTGAAAACCATCCCACTTGGTTTAAGCAGTGGGGGAGGGTGTAAAAGGATAAGCATTATCCTTAGGAGAATGAATCCTAGGAGGACTCTACATGGAGAAATAAAAGTCCTACTAGGATTATGCCACTCGAAACCTATTAAGAAGCTCACAAGCAACCACCTTGCGAGAGGTAATTGAATACAATTTTTCTGAGAACATAGAGCTTTTGTCTATCTGTCAAGTTACTGACTTAAGCATCGGAGAGGTTTCCGGCACACACCCGCCGGCTAGCTCACGTTTGTAGTTTCAGCGTGAGAAAGCGACGTCGTTACGGAGAAGCGTGGACTTGGTCAACAGGATTATACGAGAGAATATTTCTCTCCCCGACAATTGGCGCCGTCTGTGGAAACAAACAGACAAGAAAAAACCTCTGACTAAGCTTCTCCTTTTTCTCAGATCAATGGCACACATTGAAGAAACTACGCCGTCCGCCGTCGACGGCTAACTCCAGACGGGGCGCAAGGCGAGAAGGATTACCCTTGTCCCTCCTATGGCAGATCTGGAGCCCCAACAACATAACTCAACAGAGGAGCGGCAGGCGGAAAGGCGAATAGCAGCCCTCGTCACTCTCAAAGTCCTGACAGACAAAGGAGGAGGATTGATCTCAAGCCCTGGAAGATCGCGTAAAGGAACAAGATGAACTAATTCGGAAGATGGCGGCGGACATGGAGGCTTTTGAAACGCCAGATAAAGACTAAAGATGGGGCGACAGAGAGGGCAATACAAGACGCCCCCTCGCCACTCAGAGAATCGCAGTAGGAATACTACACCTTCCCAAGGAGAGAGCAGAAGCCTCAGGACAGGCTACACTCATTCCTTATCTTCCAGAACTCGTCACTCCAGGTCTGAGAGGACGAGATCCGAAAGATCATACACTGAAGGAAGTACGTATTGGCCTTCGCACTCACACCAAACCAGATCTAGACAGACAGAGCTGCCCAGGTCATCCGACTTACCAACCGTGCTCGAAGAAAAAGCACGATGCAAGGAGGATGCCAGGGCACGCGATCCACACAGAGTCTCTGCCTTGCAACGGTTGGCTCCTCGGACGCATGGAAGCGTCGAGGTTGGAATGCCAATACCGCGCCCAGCATATGAACCAACGGACAAAGCCTTAGCAAGACTACAGACTTCGCCGTTTGTTCCCGCAATCGAAAATGCTCCCCTACCATCAGGCTTCCTTCAGCCGAAATTCACTACATATGAAGGAAAGACGGACCCGTATTCACACTTGAGCCACTTTCGCCAAGTCATGGTTGTGTACAGGCGAAACGAGGCTTTAATGTGCATACTCTTCCCATCAAGCCTTCGCGACCTCGGCTTGACTTGGTTCGAGAAACTCCCAGAGGGCAGCATAGCCTCCTGGGCCCAATTGGCAGAAGCGTTCGTAACAAGGTTTCGAACAAACACTAAAACACTGGTGGAAATAGACCAGTTGCTCTCCATCGACATGGGTGAAAAAGAGACCCTCAGATCTTACAACAGTCGCTACTGGGAGACATTCAACCAGATTGGAGACTGCCCCACCAATCTAGCCATTGCCCAGTATAAAAGAGGCCTTCCAGTCGGAAACAGACTAAGGGACTCGATCACCGTCACCCCTTACCATGGAAGCCCTGATGGAGAGAGTGCATCAGCACATCAGGGTAGAAGAGGATGGCGCACGTGCCAAAGCAAAATCTAATGCAACCGCAGTACCAGAAAAGAAGACCTTAACAAAGGTCAATACAGTAGACCGGCAGAATAAAAACGGGCGTGGCAGACGAGATAACGGAGAAGACCCAGACAAAAGATGATTGAGAATCCGCACTGCCATCACAACGGTATTCAAAAAACCAATATATCGGATTCTGAGCGAAATAAAAGATGAGCCTTTTGTCAAGTGGCCAGCCAAGCTAGGGGAAGCTCAGAAAAATTATGACGACAGATCACGATGCACCTTCCACAAAGAAAAGGGGCACCGAACTGAGAATTGCACACCGTTAAGACAACACTTGGAAGAGTTGGTGGCAGCAGGCCACTTGGACAAATATATTGAAGGACGGACGCAACCAGCCCCCCAAGATCATAATGACCATCCACATAGAATGCCAATCGATGCACCGCCTCAAGGTATTATCAATGTCATACATGGAGTCTTTGAACCTGAGCGTGTATGCGAGCTCAGGGGATCAATCAAGAAGGCTGAGCACTTTAGGGAAGTGTTAAGTGACCAACCTGCTACCAAAAAGGGGAAGACAGAGGCTACAAATGTCATGTCCTTTTCGGATAAGGACTTGGATCGAATATACTGTCCTCACAATGATGCTCTGGTCGTCACTCTCCGAGTCAAAGATTTTGACGTCAAGCGG